ATGCCCGTCTTTTCCGTCTTATCTTTCTTGCGGGCTATCAAGAATTCAATTCCATTGCATGAGTGGACTTTTTTCTTTACGCCGCTCGTTGTGTGTAAAGACAGCAAAGTTTTTCTTTCTACGTCGGCCGAGGGTCGACGAACTCGCGTCTCGATCTTTTCTATTCATCGTCGTTCACAGTTTTACCGCCGTCTGCACTACGTAAGGTGGAAAATGGTGCAGGACGACTCGTTTCGATTTTCAGTCGAGCGAGAATTTCGATAAGCCGCAGCAGCCTCGTCGCGTCCCGTCTTCTTTGATATTAAAATATTCGTCGGTCGTCGAGTACGCCCCTTTGGCCTATCAGCGACGCGACTTAGCCGAGACTTTTCCGCTGCTTCGCAAATTTTCTGTCTAATAATCAATAAGCTCCGCTCTTTCCACCGCTAAGACGAAACTCTCGGCATTTTACTAAATCGCGCCCCAATTATTCGCAGCCAAAACTTCACGCGCTCTCGACATATCATCAAAAGAGAATGTGATTATTCTCGATTATCATTTCTACGTTTACCACTCGAATACCAATGGCGTAACGTTGATGAACGATAGGGCACGAGCGATAGGCCTCCGTTTGATAAAGTCCTTACGGGTAATATCCAGGGGGGGGGGAAGTAAAAGGAGAAGGAAAGCTTGCAAACGAGCGCAATCAAAACCCTTTTCAATGGCAATTGAGGCTAACGCTAAAGTGCTTAAAGCCGAATATTGCGAGCGTGAAATCAAAGCGAAGCAATGTTCGAATAAAATTAAGTGTGTTAAGTGCAAGTTTTTGATTGATTAGAGCCATTTACTAACTGACAATAATATCCTCTTACAGTTTCTTTTTTTCCTCGCACTTCATAAAAAAATTGAATATTTAATCGCTTATCTATCAATCGGTTTTTTTTTTTTTTTTTTTTTTTTTTTTTTTTTTTTTTATCGCCGCTGGAATCATTTACATAGCAGCATCCTCTGACATTTGTCACCAACTTTGCTTAATATTCACCAGTAAATACGAGTTCGAAGGAACTGTTTTTTCTTTTTCTTTTTCTTTTTACACGTCTTTGCCAAATTCCACTTATCTTACGCCACATCATTATTTAACGATATTCAATATTCGTTCCATCAATCCTCTTACACTTATGGCATTGATGAATTACGTAACAAAAGCGAATTGATTATAAATGTCATTGAACTAACAAAATGAAAAGGGACAACTCTATCGAGCATCTTTAGATTACTCTTTACATGAAAAACTATTTCAAGCTCGTCGTTTCGACAGCAATTTTTGTCTATTTCCATACAAAAGCAAAATAACAAATTCACATATTACCACTAGCTGCAGCAGAAATATTATCGATACATATTTCTCAAGCGTATCTTTTATAATTATTTTATAAATGATACAATATTTTTATAAAAGTCTATCGTTATTTTTGTATAATATGCATATGTAATATTCCGCCAATAACTTGATACTCGACATGTATACTGAAAATAATTTATCACGAGGCTGATTTCGCATTATCTATAAATACTTGAGAATTCGTATAAAACTCATGTAATACGTATCGATCCGCAGCTTTCGTTTCATTCTTCCAATTTCAAAGAATTTAACCTCTCATATCGATAACTAATAAGGAATAGTTAGTTTTTTTTTTTTTTTTTTTTTTTTTTAAATTGAAATTATGATGAAAAAACAATGAATAATTAATTCTGTTAACGTAAGAGCAACTGCCGAAATGTATAAATTCGTGTCCTTTTTAACAATCGCAATTTTAATAATAGTAAAAATGTACATTGAAATAGTATTGAATCTACTTTCGTTCAAAATATCCTTAAACTATCTACACTTGAGCGTTCAAAGACATTTTTTTTCAACTACGCCAATAATTCAATGTAAAAATTTAAAATGAATTTTTAGTATGATTTTTACTTTGATATGAGGTATGATATTTTTTTTTCTAAATTTTCTTCTTGATTATTCAGAAATAAATATCTTCTTGATATGTTCGTTTGTAGAATAAATATTTTCCAACGAATGACTGCAAAAATACTTAATAATTTTAAATTCTCTCAAATTTTAATCATTCGGCCAATTTAGATAACGTATTTATCGATTAATTCCAATTCCTTAAAATATTATTCAAACTATAATTATTTTACGGTATTGAAAAGTTCGAAATAATGTAATTAAAATTCAATGGCTAATTATCATGCATATTTTTTAACAACAATATTACATTTAAATATAGCATGATAAATGTATAATTGTTGATTCCATATTTAGTTTTTTTTTTAATTTTTTTTTATAAAGACTAATAATAATAAATATTGATGAGGTTGTACGATTGGACATTAATTTGTCCATTTTTGTAAATTTTTTGTAAATTGAAAAATACCATCATAAAATATTTATCATTCTTAAAAGTAATAATAAGGAAAATAGTAGAAAAATTCACTCGATTATAATACAAATAACAGCCGTGTATATGTGTATGTTACTCCATGTAATTTATTATCATAATTAAAAAGTGATAAAAATGTAGTTATAAATTGGCACATTGTACTGTTAAATCAGTGAACGTATTAATATTCACGTATAACTATAATTACACATATATTGTAAAAACGCACTCACACAATTACAATATAATTAAAATTGTTAGTTTAAGTAAATAGGATGTCCTTGAGCAATATTAACATGAGACGATTAATTTTTCTTCCTTTACACTCTCAATTAACTCTGCCTCCTATCTTTGTTTCTTTGGTTTTCGTATATATCGTATGAACTTGGTTTATAAATCATTAATATTTAACAATCGCACACTATAAACTGAAATAATCCTACAAGTTTTATACTATTTCCAGGCTTTAATAGTATTTTGTAATTGAATGCCTAAACTATATGAATTGGTTTGTTACCTTGTGTTTTGATCCCATTCTTAACAAAAATCAAATGTCATATCTAAATTATTATTCTATTTTGTTGTAAATCTCAAAATTTCTTATCTTCTTGATAAGTTATATAACATTTATAAATTATATTTCATTAAATAATAAAAAAATTAATATGGCATTTCATACTTATATTAACTTAAATGGATGTTTCAAAATTTGTCTTTCCGGCTTGGTTGAATACGAGTGTCGAAATAAATAATCTAATATATTGACGAAAATTCATCGTATTATAATGTATTGTTTATTAAAAAAAAAAAAAAAAAAAAAAAAAAAAAAAAAAAAAAAAAAAAAAAAAAAACAATCAATGTAAAACATTCGCAATACAATTGGGATTTATTTTCGAATCAATTTATTCCGTTTTCTTATTGTAAACAAAACATTGGTTTCGAATGTATATTTGAAGGTTATATATATATATATATATATATATATATATATGTATATATATATATGTGTGTGTGCGTGCGTGTGTGTATATGCAGACATGTGTCGCAAGCCTACACATTTAGTTAAAAACTCGATAGTAGATAACAATTTTCCATATGATAAACTAAATATTACAGTTATTATACTGATGGGCAATTCGTGAGTAAAATTTTAATTATGACTTATTGCTCAAATAAATGTTTGCCATCTGATTAATAGTACTTATGTTGATTTAGTAAATTTGACAAACAAACATAATAGAATATGAATGTATAAAAATGTCATTTTCACGACCTTTATTCTGGAGATTTTCAATGTATTTTAAAATGAAAAACAAAGTAAATATTATTTTATTTTTAAAAAATACTAGAAGTATCGAAATGGTAATTTTACTTGAACAAAGATATACTGGTAATTTGGTTTGATTTTTTCAAAGAAATGCGTCTTAACATAATAAACCGATAATGTCTATGTTACTTCACTTATATAGTAATTAATCAAGTTAAGACTTAACATAAGTTTATGAAGCACTTTTTATTATAATTATAATAGAATGATTTAATATGTATAGAAAGTATGAAAGTGATGCACAACTTACTTGAATTAATTCCAAATATCATTTGTAAATTGTATATAAAATATTAAATAGATCATAGTTTATTTAATGATTAATTTATTATGCTTAATTCGTAAAATAACCATAATTCACATTTACGGGCAAAAAAAAAATCGACTAACTTATACTCGTTTAATAATACATTAAGTACATTTTCAGTTGGTAGGCTTATTCATATTACTCGTATACACAAAATTCACTATTTATTTTTATTTATTGTAAATTCATAAGAAAATAAAAAATTTGTTTTAAATTCATTGTAAACATAAATGATTTTTTTTAAAAACTTAAATATTATGTATTTAAACGATAATTTTATTGAAATAAAATGTTTTAACAATATCAATATAAAATTTTTAATAAAGAATTTTGCTAATGTGCAATGTAAAAATTGACAAACCAGAAAAATAATAACAGCTTCAACATACATTAAAGTTTATATGAATGTAAATAGAATTCGAGCTGTTCACCTTGATATATAGATTGTTAATGTGAAAAAAAAATGTTTTACTCATGCATTCATAATTATATGCACAGTTACAAACATCCATGCAATGAGGCCTTGTCTTGCTGAATATCTCATTTTCTATGGTAACTAAATTGGCAAACATTCTCAATCATTTTGCATAATTACAATTTTGGTTATTTATAATTTGAAGATTAATCAAATAAAATAAATTGATTATTAATATTAATATTTGTAAGTAAATTGTAATTGAATAAATTGAAAATACAAATTTACATTACCAAAATCTTTTTACCATTTATTATTTGTCATTTATATGGTATATAATTTATATATTTGTACCAATCACACGTTAACTGTTCTTTTATAAGTTAAACTATGTATAAGCTACCTAGGAACGGTATATTATTGATATTTCTTTGACTTTCATGTACTTTTTATACGAACCTAAATTATAAGTAAATTCAATGTTGGCAATAGACGTTATACTAATCGTATATTTTATATTTTTTACAGATGCGTGGTTTAACCCAGAAAGATTAAATCCAAAAGGTAAGCTAAAAATAATTCAGTTGTTATATTCTAGAAACGAGATAATAATTGTTTAAAATTAATCTGATTTTTCATTTATATATCTTATCAGGAATTTGATAGTAATTATTAAGTTAATTTACAGAAAATATATATAAGTAAATAATTTTACTTTTAAACTATACGCTATAATTTGTTTATATAAACCAATAATACTCTTTTATCAAATATATTAAATGTATTAAGTAATCGTTAAAGACTGATCGATTACGCCACATTTATTTTGTTTTTCAGTATCATTCATTTTACATAATATTGTTTATATATATATATATATATGTATATATATATATAGTTGAAGTTGAACAAAAATAATTCGAAGATTCGATTAAATTTCAATAATTTATTACTAATGTATGAATTTGGCTAAAATATTTTGTGTGATATATATTTAAAATTCCTTAGGCTTAGATTTATTAATTGATATTGAGATCGGATATGTTAGATAGTATTTTTAACTCTAATATATTTTAAATATATAAAATAGCAAAGATTTAGAATATTTAGGGAATTAATTATTGTTCTTAAAGCTGAAAATGGCACATATATACGTTTTCGAATTGGCTCATACCAGTGTTCTATCGTCCAAGGTTATATTTATTTTACCTGCTTTACTTTCTCTTTTGAAAATGTAATTCCACTAACACAACTTATAGTTTAAAAAATTTCATTACCTAATTGAAAACTGTGATCGGCAAATATTGTGATTAATAATGGGAAAGCGCGGGAATTTTCGTATTTAAAATGTATTAATTATAATTAAATAAATATTTATGATATGATATACATATATATCTATTTTTAGATGACGAATTGAATTTTAAAAACTGATCACTCAAGCATGAAATATTTCTATTTGAAAAACTAAATAAGATAAAGAAGTATAATTGACTTAATTATGTGCAATTGAGTACTATTTTTAGATATCTTTTTCAATTTATTATTGTAAATTGAAACTATCTCTGTACAATTATAGTAAAATAAATTTACAATGTGTCATCGTCTGCGACAGTTTTACTTTATACATTTTACTTTATTGCGAACAAAGTCAATAGTTAAATATGGTCGTTAAATTTAGCGATTAACTATCCAATGACCATGCGTATTTTCGACAATTCGAACAGCAAATTTCGACATATTTTCTTAACGATTAATTTCTCTTTTTAACGTATTCACATTATTCTCCACGTGTTCAACGTACATACACGAATTACTGGATATACCAATTCGCGTGCTCCCTCTTCCTCATAATAATTTGAGCTCCTCATTATCGTCTTCCGAGTGTACATCTATTGCGTCTTCTTTTTCCCTTCCTCTCTATGTATTTCACATTTTGTTTTCCATCTCTTTTTCATTCTGCGCTTCCCCCTAAATTCTTTATCCCGATTTATCCAATCAGCTCCTTAACCCATCTTTCTTTTTCTAATCGTATACGGCAATGTAGTAAACAGTAGCTCGAGTGAGTGATCCAAATAAATCTTGTGGAATTAGGTAAAGAATCCGTCGGCGTTGAGTATCAAACCTTCAAAAACTCCCCGTGAACTCTGTCTCTCTCTCTCTCTCTCTCTCTCTCTTTCTCTCTTCTTCTGTCTCTGGTTCCAACTATTCTTTCTCTCTCTGTCTCTCTTTCTCTCTCTTTCTGTCTCTGGTTCCACCTATTCTCTCTCTCTCTCTCTCTCTCTCCTTTCGCTCTCTTTCAAGCTTATTCTCACTCCATCTTCTTTCATCTAAGTTGTAGACGAGCCTGCTGCTGTTCGTTTAGTTTCAGAATTCAGTGTCTCGCCATTGGTCTACTAGAGTGAAACTCCAGCAATTGCGTAGCCGCGTTTTACATTGCTCGAAAATTTCTTCTCAGTTGTTTTATTTTTCATAGTTGGATTTATTTCGTGCGCGCGTGTACAGAACTGTTATATACGTTTCTCTTATCCCTTCCTCGATCCGGCGATCGATTTACCAGTGAGCAAAATGTGTAAGATACGCGTGAACGCTTTTTTATTTTATTGATTTTTTCTTTTCTTTTAATATATGTGCAATTATTAATTATGGCTTACCAAGATGAAAAAAGTTTTTCCACAGCCTGATATATCTACTTCTTGCAACATTGAATGAAACTTAATACCTCTTATGTAAAAAGCCTGTTTCTCATACTCAAGTAAGCTACGAGGAAAGAGAGAAATAAGATTTAGGAAAAAGCTGGAGAATGAAAGCTGTTGAAAAATATTGTCAGAGCTTTTTGAGTGAAATATCTAAAAATCTTACAAATAGCATCGATGAGTTAAAAGTATCACCAAGCGTAATAAAATACATAGTGTTGGTTAACGAATGATGACGACACAAGTGTGGGCTAAGATAATCATACGCTTTTCCACGATATTTTAAAGGGGGAAAAGCTAGGAAATATTCGACATTGATAATTTTGGTCGAAGTGCCAAATATAATAATATTGTCATTGGATTTGGGCGCACGAGAAGGCCGAGAAAAATAAATATCAAGTGGCTCGACACGTGCTTCATAACCTCGGTGAAAGAAATAAAAAAAGATAAAAAGAGAGAAAAAAGTGACGCAAGGGAGCACTCAAAGAGCCGACGAGGAGACTTTGGGTCGGGAAATTTTTAAGCTCTCGAAACTTCTCCTTTCCCGTTCGCAAGCCCGTAGTCTGTGCTCGCCGCCGTTGCCCTCCCGGTCATCGCCGTCGCTTCCAATCCTAAATATAACGTCCAGCCAGGTTCGTCCGCTGGTACTTTGCCAGGGGTTCTCTGGTGTGCTTCGATTCGGCTTTACTGGGGCATTGCCGCGCATTCGAGAGGTTGACTCCTCCGTCCCGACCCTTTGCCTCTTCAACCGCAGCCCGCAGCCCTTTTCCGTCCTCGTCGTCGTCGTCGTCGTCGTCGCCTCGGTCAGGCGGGACGACGATAGCTGTGCGCTTCTCGACTACTCTTATCTTGTCTCTTTGTTCGTCTCTCCGATGGGGCTTACGTCATTCCTCGTACATTCCTGGCTGGTTGCTCGATTTTTAATAAGCTCCGGGCACCGACAGACTCGCCATCGTTGCGATCCGAACCACCGACACTGGATTATTTATTTACGTTTTTATCGTTTGTGCTACTTTTTCGAGGGATAGCGAATCACTCGTGTGTGTAATTTAGCTCGCGAGTGCAAGGAAAGAAGAATGATCGATAATGCAAGCTTCAGGCACTACTTTCTAACTCTATTTATTTCTTGTTTCTCTTTGTTACAAAAATTTCTTACGTAGAAAGGGCTTTTTCCCTTTTGTTTACTTTTTTCTTTTTTAAGAACTTAGTAAATATTGAAGTTGATAATTGAATTACAATTTTGGAGTTGATGATATATATATATATATATATATATATATATATATATGATGATATATTATATTAAATTATACAAACTTTTGCATAAAATTTTAATTATTCTAATACGGTGTTGTAAACGACTTGATAAGCTATTGTTGTCGATGAAATTTTTATGAACTATTAAAGAGCAAATGATGTAAAATTTAAGAATAATACTTCTTCATTTAAGATTATTTTGTTTTTATACTTTCTAGTATATCGTTGCGTCATACAATTATGCATTTTATTTATTATAGAAATTTAATTATGCACAGAATAGGTGCGTATATCTTTCAAACTCCCATTCATACGAGTGTTCTCGTAACACTTTTCAAATCATTATTAAATAAGAGAAATCAGGATTGAATAAGAAACCGAATGACGTTTATCTTATGTCTCACCTTTGCTATATCAATCGGTTTCTGCCCTCTACCTGGAAATATTTCTTTTTCTTAAAAATTAAGAAATTTAAAATCAATTATCAATTATTGCAACGAACCATTAACTACAATTTGTGAATGTAAGAGTTTGATTTTGTAGAGAGACTAATTTCAAATTTGTCAAGACTTTTCTCAATAAATCGCTATCGTTAACTTCGAGCTCTTAGATACTCGTCCCATTTCTTGTTTTGCTATTAATTGCTTTTAATAATAATCATTCAACCCTTGCTCCCTGGTTTCGTTTTCAGTTAAATGTGTGTTATGTGTTGCGTGTCGCAGTTGATTTGAGGCAGGGGTGGGGTAGGAGGTGGAAGCCGGCTCTTGCCGATCATCGTAAAAACTCTGGCTTTTGTTCGTCATCGTCATCGTCGTAGTCATCACCGTCGCGGTGGTGGCAACCACACGGGCTAAATTCTACACACAACTTAGCCGGATATAAATGCCCGTGCTCGCATTTACAAGCACGAATAATTTATAAATATAAGAGCGTGTGAGGCACCGAGGGTGTTTTGAAATTATGTTCGTGGCGGTAGTGCGGCTGCACTAGACTTTGTTACTGCTGACATCGACGGGGAGTTTGTCGATAAAAATGGTTATGAGGAAGCAAGAACGTGAGTAGTATAGACTTTTGTCTCTCTCTCTCGCGAGTAATTTACGCTCATTTTGCTTGGTTAAGTCGTACGATAGAGGGAGCTGAATAATCTGGTGGCTAGGGTAATCCCCAACCCACCCCCGCAAATACTAGAATCGTTTTACTGTCGTATTATTAATTTTTCGGACAATTGCATTGCAACACAAAGAATGTTAATATTATGTTTGATAAATGAGTGAAATTTATAACGGATTATCGCCAAAATTTTAAAGGTAAAATTCTTTTAACAATGTTTCAAACAGCCTTTAAAGCAGAATCTTACTCGAATCGATTAAATAGACAAAACATGTGTATTTGCTTGATCCTAACTTTTCCAAATTCATCGAGTATTTGAATAAAAATGATTTCGATGATATATATATAATAATCTTATTTCTTTCTTTCATTTAATAATTTTGGAATTTTTATTGCTTATGAGAAACATCTATCTTTGTGAGTGTTACATCCGATTTGTTTTCCCTGTAAATATACAAAAAATGTTTTCACGATCAAATTATATAATTTTATTAGAATACC